ATTAGAACACTCCTAAAATTCAACTTAAGTATCAGCTTATTTATTTATTTACTTATTTACTTACTTACTTACTTACTTAATTATGTAGCATGTTTTGTTTTTTCAAACAGGGTCATATATAATCCAATGGCCTGAATTATGTAACTAAAGATGACACTTGTGTGAATAGGAATCACCCCCATAGGCTCTTGTTTGAATGCTTGGTCATTAGGGAGCGACACAATTTGACAGGATAGGGGGTTAGGGTTAGGGTTAGTTGACTGGCTTTGTTGGAGGAAGTGTGTCACTGGGGGACTTTGGGGTTTCAAATGCTCAAGCCAGGCCCAGTGTCTTTCTCTTCCTGCTGCCTTCAGATGAGGATATAGAACTCTCAGCTACTATGTCTGCCTGCTCCCCACCATGAAAATAATGGACTAAAACCTCTGAAACTGTAAACAAGCCCCAATTTAATGTTTCCCTTTATAATAGTTGCTGTGCTTATGGTGTCTCTTCATGGCAATAGAACACTGACTAAATCAGAAGTTGGTACCAGGGAGGAGTATTGCTGTGACAGGTCTGACCATGATGCTTGCTGGTGGAATATGGACTTTGGGACTTTTAGATTAGGAAAGCAGTTGAATGCTTTAAGCTGAGCTTTAGGCCATGCTAGTAGGGACATGGAAGACAGTGGTGCTGAGAGCAAGGTAGATTATGACAGCCCAGCTCTAGAGGTTTCAGAGGAGAATATTAGTAAGTGGCCACGAGACCATTCTTGTGATATTTTAGTGAAGAATGTGACTGCTTTCTGCCCTTGTTCAAAAAATCTGCCTGAGGCTAAAAACTAAAGTTTTGGGTTAATAGCATTGGCAGAGGAGACTTCAAGGCAGCCTAGTATAGACTCTGTCTTGTGGCTACTAGTGGTTAGCCATATTCAAATCTACAATAAAAAGGAGCAGGCTGAGCATGGAAAAGTGCAAAATGTGCAGTTTAAGGAGCACCAGGAAGTACAGTAGACCTAGGTGCAGTGCTCACAGAGATAAAAAGTTCAAAGAAAAGCCTGATCCTAAATGAAATAAAGGGAGTGGTGACCTGAGGGCAAGGCCCTACCCAGCTAAGCTTCCATCTTGTGAAAAGGAATTAAAAAAAAGCTTAACAGGGAAGGAAATCATCAAAAACAGAAAGCTGATACGGATATAACTGAATGAGGGGTCCAAGTTCCAGCCCCAGCAAGCAGCAGAACTTGGCAGGTTCAGCAACATGGTTCTGGTTTTAGAATCAAGAATACAAGAAATGGGTTGTGAGCTGGGTGGTGGTGGTGGTGGTGCACACATTTAGTCCCAGCACTTGGGAGGCAGAGACAGACTGTGAGTTCAAGGCCAGCCAGGTCTACAGAGCAAGTTCCAGGACAGGCTCCAAAACTACACAGAGATACCCTGTCTCAAAAAAAATCAAAAAAAAAAAAAAAAAAAAAAAAAGGGGGGGGGGGAGTTGTGGAATCTCCTTCCAAAATAAAGGAAAGCCACTGAGGCCAGGTGTGTGTCCTTGCCTGGAGGTCTAGAGAGGCCATTGCATGAAGCTGTGAAGGTGAAGCCTGGAGTGCCCTGGAGACCCCAAGATATTGGAGATGCCAGAGTTGTGTGATAACTGCTATGGAAAGCTAACAGGGAGTGGAACTAGCCCAAGAGAAAGAAGTGTGCTGCAGTCAACAAAGCTGAAAGGAGTTGGAGATCTGAAGAGTGCTTTGACATCAGACACGGAAATGCCAAGTTTGGAGTTTGCCCTGATGATTTTTGGTCTTGCTTTGGTCCAGTACTTCCTATATGTTCCCTTTTCTCCCTTTTTGGAACAGTCATGTATATCCTGTGTCGTTGTATGTAGGAAGTATGTGATCTGCTTTTTGCTTTTGCTTTTACAGAGGACTGCAGTTAAGAAATTGCCACGAGTCTTGGAAGAGACTTTGAACTTGGCACTTTTAAACAGTGTTGAGGCTGTTATAGACTATGGAGACTTTTGAAGTTGGAATGAATGCATTTTTGCATTGTGGTATGGCTACAAGCCTATGGGGTCCAGACAGTAGACTGTGGTGATGTGAATGGGAATGGTCCCCATGGGTCTGTATGTTTAAATGCTTGGTCATTAGGGAGTGGTGCTACTTGACAGGGATTAGGAGGTGTGGCCTTGTTGAAAGAGGTGTGGCCTTGTTGGAGGAAGTGTGCCACTAGGGGTTGGTTTTGGATCTCTTAATCCAAGCCCAGTGTCTCTCTTCCTGCTGCCTTAAGATCAGGATGTAGAGCTCACAGCTACATGTCTGCCTGCATGTCACTGTTCCCCATTATGAGGGTAATGGACTAAACCTCCAAATGTAATAAAATCCCAATTAAATACTTCTTCTATTAGAGTTGCTGTGGTCATAGAACATAGCAATAGAACACTGACTAAGACAACCCTGAACTCCTAACCACCCTGACTCCATCTCCCAAGTTCTGATATTGTGTGTGTGTGTGTGTGTGTGTGTGTGCTACTACCCTTGATATAGGATCACAGTTGACGTGTGTGTGTGTGTGTGTGTGTGTGTGTGTGTGTGTGTGAGAGAGAGAGAGAGAGAGAGAGAGAGAGAGAGAGAGAGAGAGAGAGAGAGACCAGCCAAGGTGCACATACAGGGGTCAGAGGACTTGGAGGAGTCCTTTTTCTCCTTTTACCATGTGAGTCCTGCAATCAAACTCAGGTCGTCAGGTAGGACAGCAAGCGCCTTTACCCACGAGCCATCTCACTGGCCCAGGATCAAAGTTTTAAACGGAGTCATAAAACTCATACTTCTTGCACCCTAACTACCCAGAAACAAAGTTTCTCTTTTTTCTTTTTCCCTCTATTTTTGTTGTTGTCGTTGTTTTAAAGTGGGTCTCACTATGTGTGTCTGGCTGGACCTCCCTGTAGTTCATTCTGGGCTGAGCTTCTGGCAGTCCTGGGATAGCAGGCACGGCTCTCTTCTAGTTATCTACGTTTGTTTCTCCCTTGTGAATGACACTGAGAACAAATGGTAGCTAAGGGAAATGTCTGTTCAAAGTGTTATTGTTTGTCTACAGGAACACATGAACCTAGAGTGAAAAGGCTCCCAACTAGAGACAGGCCAAAGCGTTTACCACATACTTTCCCCTGCGTCACTCAGCCAACATCCTCTGTGGATGTCCTTGCATACCATCTGGACTTTGGGGAAAAGCCAGATTCACATAATTCAAGAGAAAAAAAAAAATTCCCTTTAGCTCTTTTAATTAAATAAGTGATAGCTGGAGAGAAAAATTCTTAAAACTGAAATTTTAAAGTAAGTTATAAAATTCCTTTCTACCACAAAAAGGTTAATAAAACTTAAAAATTAAAGTTATTGTATTAATTACTTTTCAATTGCTGTGATAAAGCACCATGACCAAGGCGATTTATAGAAGGAACAGTTTGAGGCTTATAGTTGCAGAGGTATAGGAGTCCATAATCCCCATGGCAGGGAGCATGGCAACAGGCAGACAGGCATGGCACAGGAGCAGCTGCCGAGAGCTCACAGCCAAATCCACAAGCAAGAAGCAGAGAACATATTAGGAATGACATGAGTCTTTGGAAACCTCAAAGCCCACCACCAGTAACAGGTCTCCCAACAAGGCCATATCTCCCAAACAGGTCCACCAATCGGGGATCAAATATGCTAACATCAAGCCTATGGTGACCGTTCTCATTTAAACTGCCACCAGTTATTTTCATTATTCTGTATGTCTGGGTATTGTGTCTGCATGTATGTCTGTACACAATATGAGTGCCTGATACCTAGAGAAGCCAGATCCCCTGCAACTGGAGGCGCAGACAGTTATGACCCATCATGGTGGTGCTGGGAATCAAACCCAGGTCCTTTGCCAGAGCAGCCAGTGTTCTTAACTGCTGAGCTGTCTCTCCAGTCCATGGACCATAACTAAATCCTATATATAGAACATTATCTGAATTGCTTTTAATGTTTGAATTAAACCCAGCACACATTTAACAACCCATTTATTTTCAACAAAGAAGGTTCTATAGGAAAACTGTATTTTATTTAGATATAGTCCACCTCTAGCTGAGGTGCTATTGGTATTTGAGAGCTTCTGGTGAAGGAAGAGTCAATTTTCTGTCAGGGTATATCGACCACATTCCAGGGTAGGCCCCATACCCAAGGGTAGTTGTTCAATATAAACTGGACTCAGTGGAAGAGAGAGAGAGAGAGAGAGAGAGAGAGAGAGAGAGAGAGAGCACAAAATTGGGTAGGCAGAGGGTTTGGGATAGAAATGGGAGACGTTGAGAGAGGACAGTGAATATGATCAAAACACATTATATAAAATTCTAAAAGGATTATAAAATATTATTTTAAAAGGGAAATTTGCAGATAAATGGATGAAACTGGAAACAATCATTCTGAAAGTAACCTCAGGCCCAGAAAACAACACACACACACACACACACACACACACACACACACGGGTGGGTAGAGAAGGAGTTGAGGTAGGAGGTTGTATGATCACAATATACTGTCCAGAAATCCACAAGAACTAATGAAAAAGAAAAAGATTGATTGATTAAGACAGGGTCTCATTATATAGCCCTAGCTGGCTTAGATTCACTATGTAAACTAGGCTGGTCTCCAACTCCAAGTCACCTGCCTCTGACTCCTAAATGCTGGGATTAATGCTTTGTACCACCACCATAGGTTTAAAATATGTTTTGTATTCCCAAGAATAAGTGATATAAATTATAGTAGCTTTTTATCAGTCAGTTGGGTCTTTTAACTAAAAATAAATACCATATACAACAGAGATTGCTTAAGTTAAAATAAACAACAGCATATGTTTTGTACACATACGTGAGAAATGCCTAATATGTAAATGAAATGAAGTCAGCACACATATTTCTATAATAAAAGCTGTGGGATTTAAACTCCCTGAGCACACTTGACAAAACCTGTCCAGAAAATTACTCCAAGTGTCTCTTAGGTGACACAGAAACTTTTCTCCAACAATTTAGATATTTTTATTGACCTTTTGTTCTTCAGGACCTCACTCAAAAAAGCTTTTGAATTTGTAAACAATAAACTTTTAAGCATATTACTACTGTCCTCGGAGATATCTCATTTTTTCAGCTCTTCATGTACATGTGGGCTACTGGAGGCATTAGCCTGGAGTGCTTCTGTGTCCTCCTTTAAAGCAGACTCAGCAGGTTCTGGGTGTTCCCACGCACTGGATTTCACAGCATGCGCTGCATAGTTCAGGCTGGTATTTTCACTCCAATGCCAGTAACCTGAAAAGGGATTGTAGATCATTCCTGCCACAGTTTGAACTGGCAGACCATCTTAAAAAAAAAAAAGTCAGAAAATTGGAATCAATAAACATTTACCATTCAAACCACAAGAGTCTACAGTAATTCTTCAAAAATTCCTAATTTAATGAACAAAAGCACTTTGCAGTCATGCCTGGATCATACTTAACTGCAGGTGAGAATACATTCTCCAAAGCAGAGGACTGGGGTCAAAGGCCTGCTCTGATCCTACTGTAAGGGTGACCCTTTCTGAAGGCCACGTAGAGATCACGTGTCTTACAGCACTGGAATTAGAGGAGGTATGTCTAAAATAGCTCAGTGCTTAGAATTCTCTAAGTTCTTAACAAATAGTAGATATCACTTGAGAATATCTGTCAACAAGAGATTGTCTCCAAGAGGAATCTTCTTTGGTTTATTTTCCTTTTATTTGCTGAGACAGGGCCTCACCTTGTTTGAGACTGGCTTTATCTAATACAGGCTTGCTATGTCGCCCAGGCTAACCTGAATACCCAGGCCTCCTGTTACAGCCTTTCAAGTGCTGGGATTACAAGTATGCACTACTATGCCCAGCTCCAAAAATATTCTTTAAAATATCCATTTTCTAGTCTCTTTTCAACAAAATTACAAGACATCTCTAAAAGTCACCACACTGCCTTGAACTGACAATATTTTAATTAAAAGAGTTGGTTGGTGCACTTTTGTTAACAGAAACATGGGAAATGGCGACTAAGTACCCAGCAAGACCTCCAAAATGCCAAGCAGGTGAACTAAGAAACATCACTTAACAGAGTTCAACAAACAAAGCTTTTACTGTGCCAAAGCATGGTGAGGCACAGTGTAGAGTACAAAAAGAAGATTATGGGCCAAAAAAGAGTTAAGAAATGTGAAAATTACATACAATCATACTTAGAAGATCAAGTGTGAATATGTACTCCAAAACACGCTGCTGTGTTCAAATACCAACTCTGACATCCATCATGGTGACCCTTGGTCACTTATGCAAGTACCAGAAATACATAAGAAATGACATGGAAGTTGAAAAGACATCTAAGTATGGAAGATTCAGGAGAAATCATAAGATAAATTGAGATAAGCAGAGTTCACCAGGAGAAATTGAGCATGTGTAAGTAATACACGTTGACACCCATCCTTAAACAAATGAAGATTCGACTAGCCAGGAAAGGGTTTACTGATCATCGCTCAAGGCTAAGTGCCAGTCGGAAATGGTATCTACTCCATAATTACCATTTCAAAGAGTTTAAGACATAACTGAAGAGATTAAGCTAACATCTGGAAAAAAAAAAAGGCAACCTGCTTAAATAAGTGCTAGGTTATTAGATTAATAATTATACATGCAACAAAGGTTCACACAGGACCGGAAAACAGTCTTGATACTTACTTGGTTCCAGAATACTCTCTAGCTTCTCAGGTGAAACAAACTTCTCCCAAGTGTGAGTGCCTTTGGGAACAATGCCGGTGATTTGCTCTGAGAAAACAATGCCCAAAGCGTAGGACAGCTGTGTTTTGTTGATTGTAGTGATGAAGAAAGAGCCCCCGGGCTAGAGGGAGGAAGTGTATAGGTAAGTAAAACAGCTGCGGTGAAGTATGAGAAGTGAGGAGCAACTGCTAGGTAAAGGCTTACTTCCCCTCTCTCCTTCTTTCCAAGTGCTAACAAGCTACGTAAGCAGACATTAAACAGAATTTACCAAAAGAGCACTTTTGTTCTCTCTTGGGAAAATCTCTTATACAGACAATCTACTACAGTCACAGTCACCAAGTCTACACACCAAGCACAACTTACCACTCAGAATTCTTTATTGCTATCGCATAATGATATATGCTCTTTTGTATGGACTAAATACTTCGTCAAGGTTGTCTTTTATTGAAAATGGATTTTTTTCATATAATACATTCTTATTACTGTTCTCCCTCTTCCTCCTCTCAGTTCCTCCCACCTCCCCTCCATCCAGATCCATACCCTTTCTGTCTCTTGTTAGAAAGCAAACAGGCATCTAAGGAATAATAATAAAATAAAATAAACCAAAAACAAATAATCAGAATATGACAAAAACAGCCAAACAGGAAGAAGAGCCAAAGAAAACGCACAAGAAACACATACAGCTGCAGAGATAAATGTTTGCACACACACACAGGATCCCACAAAAAATCAAAAGTGGAAGCTGTACTATATAATGCAAAGGACCTGTAAGGTTAAAAAAATGCACTGACTTAACACCAAGAGACAAAGAACCTTCAAAGATGCCACTGAGTTTGCTTTGTGACCAGCCTACTGCTGGGCATGGGGTCTACCCTTAAAAGTGGTTTGTTTCCCCAGTGAGACTCCCTTGGAGAAAACTAATTTTTCATTTGCAAATGGCTATCAACTGGAGAGAGCGTCTGGGTTAAGAATGTATGTGTGTGTGTTGGTTACAAATGGCTATCAACTGGAGAGAGCGTCTGGGTTAAGAATGTATGTGTGTGTGTTGGCGGGGGGGGGGGGGGGGGGTGCTCGAGAGATGGCTCAATGGTTAAAAGCACTGGCTGCTCTTCCAGAGACCCAGGGTTCAATTCCCAGCATCCACATGGCAGCTCACAACTCTCAGTAACTACAGTTCCAAGTGATCCAACACCCTCACATAAATATACATGCAGGTAAAACACCAATGCATATAAAATAAGAATAAATAAATTATTTTTAAAAAAAGAATGGGTGTGTCTGTCTACTTCTTTCAGCTCTAGGATCCCATCTGGTGCAGACCTATGCAGGCCCAGGCCCTGGGCATCTGGTGCAGACCTATGCAGGCCCTGTGCATGCTGCCACAGTCTTGGTGAGTTCATATGTGTGTCAGCTTTGTTGTGTCTAGAAGGCCTTGAGTCCTTGGTGTCCCCTTAACATACAGAGGTCGTCCATGCTTTCTCTCAGGTGATATGCCTAATGTGGTCGGTACAGCATTCCCCTATACATCCTCTGCTAAGAAGCACTACCAACAAATGCTCTCTGACAAAAACATTAATGATTAAGGTTCAAGAATTTTTTTGTTTTTATTTGTATAAAGATTATGAAGGCATCAAGATAAACACTTAGATGAAAGCAAATCATTTATGTGAGTATTTAGTCTGCCTATATAAAGACAATGTTTATATTTCCTATGTTTATTCCCAAAACAGCAAGGAAGATAATGCCCCTCCTTTTGCCCAGTCTCATTAGCCTAATGAGGATAAAATGCCACTTCAAAATCACCTTATGAGTCTCTCTCTCTCCATCGATTGAAACAGATAGATAGATGATAGATGACAGATAGAGAGATAGATTGACAGATGATAGATTGATAGATGATAGATAGCTAGACAGAGAGATAGATAGATAGATAGATAGAGATAGATCATAGATCATAGATGATAGATGACAAGTAGATAGATAGATATTAGATAGATAGATAGATAGATAGATAGATAGATAGATAGATAGATAGATAGATAGATAGACAGATAGATCTTTCTAAGATTTTTACTTGGAAAATAGGAAATGAACCTAATAAAATTCCATTTAAGAGGAAGCACTTCCCTTTTATCCCAGCACTTGGGAGGCAGAGGCACGCAGATCTCTCAGTTCGAAGCCAGTTTGGTCTACAGAGTAAGCTCCAGGACAGCAGGGCTATGTATCTGGGCCAGTGAGATGGCTCAGGAGGTAAAGGGTAAAGGCACCTGTGTTGATGTAACCAACCGTCTTATTAAATAAGAAACACAGAAACAATGTAAAAGAGAGAGCCGAGAAGTCAGAGCTCAGAGCTAAAATCTCACCCTTCCTCCTGCTGTCCCAGCTTCGCGAAAAGAGACCTACTTCCTGTCGGTTCGTTTTTTTAAAGTATGTTGTTCTGCCTTCTCATTGGTTGTAAACCCAAACACATGACTGCCTCGTCACTGTCTGAATGTACAGCCCCCTAGGTCTTAAAGGCATATGTCTCCAATGCTGGCTGTATCCCTGAACACACAGAGATCTTATGGGATTAAAGGCGTGTGCCACCACCGCCACACTCTTGCTATGGCTCTAATAGCTCTGACTCCCAGACAACTTTATTTATTAACATACAATCAAAATAATAATTCAGTACAATTAGATTATCACCACACACCTGACACAAGCCTGATGACCTGACTCCATCCCTGGGACCTACATGATAGGAGAGAATCAACTCCTTCAAGCTGTCCTCTGACTTCAATACATGATCTATGGCTTGAGCATACACACACACACACACACACACACACACACACACACACACACAAATAAATAAATTAAAAAGTAATGAAAAGGTATAAAAATGTCAAAGATGGAAGGTGATTAAAGAGACACAGTAACTAATGCAATACAAAAGCCTAGGTTGGATTCATAATGGGAGAAATAACATCAGTGGAGAAACTGATCAGCCTAGCACATTCTCTATGCATTAACAAGGCAGTGCCACTATCCGAGTCTGTCTTTACATATGTACCAGGAGTTATGTGCAGGAAAAGGACATTGGAGAGGTAAGTGGGGAGCCTGGGACACACAACTGAAGTCAGCACATGCTTTCAGGGAATACAGGGATGGGTGGACGTCTGAGAGGAAGTGTACCCTTCAACGTGGGGCCCTAAGTACCTAGGTTGACACATCTTAGTTTCTATCCATATGGAAGCTGTTAACAACACAGTAGTTCTCAACATGTGGGTTGTGATCCCTTTGGCAAACCTCTATCTCCAAAGATATTTACATTACAATTAAAACAGTAGCAAAATTATAATTACGAAGTAGCAACAAAAACTATTTCATGGTTGGAGGTCACCACAACATAAGAAAATGCATGAAAGAGTCACAGTATTACCAAAGTTAAGAGCCACTATGTTAACACATGGGAAAAACAGGTGACAGCAAAACCATTCTGCAATGGTTTTTTATTTGCAACTCTTCTGTAAATCTATAATTATTTTACTATAAAGCCTTCTGCTCCGGCCAGCAAAGCAGGCAGACTGACGGCAGATCTTCACTGCTCCTTCAGTTCTTCCAAATGCAGTCCCCTCGTCTCATCCCCAGTTCTGCAGCAGACCACGTGGTTTGATCTCCCTTCCCTCCCTACCCCCATCTCCAGTGGATCACACAGCTTCTCCCCTCCCAATCTCACTCCCCCACTCACTCCTCTTGTCCCAGTCTCCAATTCCAGCAGGCATTTCCTGGGAACTTCAGTCAGCAAAGCAGGCAGATCTTCACCTCTCCCTCCTCCTCCAATTCCATCCCCAATCTCATCTGCAGCCCTGTAGCAGACCTGCTGTGGTCTCTCTTCACTCTCTACCCCACTCCCAGAGGACTAAGCAGATCCTAGTGGAACGCCCTGCTTTCCTCCCTCCTGAGGACTCCATCTCCCACACACACTCCTAGCCCATCCCCATTTCTATGTATCAGCTTCTAATACCTGGAATCCTCAGTGGCCACACCTATCAGGATCCCAGAAGAATTTCCTGCCAGGCAACACACAGTCACCACACTTGCCTAAGAACTAGAGAGGAAACAGAAACCAACGAACAAAAAAAGAAACCACCCAACAAAGACAAGAACATGTATCAGTACCTAGAATTATAATCTTCCCAATCCCACATGTCTAGATGCCAATGTAAAAACACAATCAATAACATCCAGGACAGTATGTCTCTACTAGAGCCAGCAAGCCTAAGATAGAAGGCAATGAGCATTGTCACACAACTGAAGAAGAAGAAAAAGACCTTAAAACAGCCTGTATAAATATGACAGAGGCCCATAAAGAGGAAGTGAATGAATTCATTAATGAAATCTATGAAAACATAAACAGTGGAAAGAAATGAATAAAACAGTCCAAAATGTGAAAGTAGAAAGAGAATCAATAAAGAAAATGAAAACTGAAGGAAATCTGGAAATGAAAAATTTAGGAACTCAAACAGGAACCTCAGAGGCAAGCCTCACCAACAAAATACAAGAGATGGAAGAGAGAATCTCACACATTAAAGACAAAATAGAAGAAATGGATACCACAACCAAAGACAATATTAAACATAAAAGTCTCCTGGCACAAAAAACATCCAGGAAATTTGGGACACTATGAAAAGACCAAATCCAAGAATAATACAAATAGAGGAAGGAGAAGAAAAGCAGGTCAAAGGCACAAAAAATATTTTCAACAAAATCATAGACGGAGATGCCTATCAAAGTACAACAAGCATATAGAACACCGAGTAGACTCAACCAGAAAAGAAAGTTCCCCAGTACATAATATTCAAAACATTAAATGAACAAACAAGGAAAGAATATTAAATGCTACCAGGGAAAAAGACCAAGTAACATATCAAGGCCGACTTATTAGAATAACACCTGCTTTCTCAACAAAAACTCTAAAAGCCATAGAGACCTGGATAGATGTGCTGTAGACTGTAAGAGACACAGATGTTAGCCTAGACTATTATGCCGAGTAAAACTTTCAATCATATATGGAGAAAATAAGACAGTCCATGATAAAATCAAATTTAGCAATTTCTATATGCAAATCCAGCCCCTACAGAAGGTGCTAGAAGGAAAACTCCAACTTAAAGAGGCTAGCCAAGAAAACATAAGGAATAAAAAAAAAAAACCTCAGATCAAAAAAAGGAAAACACACACACCACCACCACCACAATAATAACAAGAATCAACCAAGACTGATCATTGATATCCCTCAACATAAATAATCTCAATTCCCCAATAAACACACAGATTAACAGAATGGATGTGAAAACAGGATCCATCTTTTGGCTACATCTAAGAAACACACCTTAACATCAGGGTTAGATATCACCTCAGCGTAAAAAGATGGAAAAAGATATTTCAAGCAAATGGACCTAAAAGCAAACTATTATTGCTATTTTGATATGTGACAAAATAAACTTTGAACCAAAACTAACCAGAAGAGATAAGGAAGTATACTACATAATAATCAAAGGGAAAATCTACCAAAAGGTCTTGGCAATTCTAAACATCTATGCACCAAACACATGGGCACCCAAATTCATAAAAGAAACACTACTGCAGCTTAAACCACATATTGACCCTCACACACTGATAGTGGAAGACTTCGGTACCACACTCTCACCAACAGACAGGTCATCCAGACAAAAGAGGAATGCTGGAGTTAACTGACATTATAAACCAAATGGACCTAGCAGATAGCTAAAGAACACTTCACCCAAACACAAAAGAATATACCCTCTCCTCAGTACCTCATGGGACTGTCTTCTAAACTGACCACACAGAGGGATACACAAAGCATGTCTCAACATAAACAAGAAAATTGAGTCAGGCAGTGGTGGTGCACACCTTTAATCCCATCACCCAGGAGGCAGAGGCAGGCAGACCTCTGAATTTGAGGACAGCCTGGTCTACTGAGTAAGTTCCAGGACAACTAGACAGGGAAATGCTATCTCAGGAAAAAAAAAAAAAAGCCAACTCTGTCTTACTTTTAATACTTGATAGCAGCACTGTACGAACAATTCAAGGTCAATCACATGTTCCACAACTTCAGAAGCCACAACAGCATCAAAAACTTCTGCAGCCTCATTCGTAATCTCCTCCAGGGAACACACTTTGTACTGTATCCTCTTATCCAGGACCGGATCAAATGACTTATGGTGCTGTGCTATCTTAATGTTTTCAGCCACGGGATCGATTCCGGTAACTGAAGCCCCCAGTCGCCCTAGAGGCTAATGGCAGAAAAACTGTTATGCTCAAGAAGAAAACAGAATACATGATAGCAATAAAAAGTTTTTCTAAAATGGTTATCCAATACCAAATGGTCAGCCCTAAAATCATACATATGCTAACAACACTAAATAGAATCAGCAGGATCAGGAGGTTGTATTCATATATTTATTCTAATGCCTATATGTAACAATAATAACTTTTTTTTAAAGAGGCCATAGATTTGACATGGGAGATATGAGTGTGGGGTGGAAGGAGGAGGGGAGAAAATGATGTCAATACAGTATACATAGATAAAATTTTTTTAAAATTAATTTAATTCTTTAGTAATTCAAAACTGCTATTTCATGTTTCAAAAGGCAGCATATAAAATACTAAAACTATCACAGAAAATATTCATCAAAGATTAAATTGTGATGCCAAAGGTCCCCTGCACTGATGAGGACTATAAGACATAGCTGTAAGACATATATATTCCTCCCAAGGACAATGACCACACATCTAAGTACCCTAGAGCACCTAAAAGGTGATCCCCACAAGTAGCAAAATTCTTGCCAGTTTTATTTGAGATATGTAAAAGGAGAAACTAAACCTGTACTTAATCTCATAGAAACTGCCTAATTTCTTGGGACAGAAGAGATCAAACAAAGCTATTTATTGGCCCATGCCCATTTATTAAAAACAAAACCCAAAATACTTCAGTAGTTGTCCAAAAATTAGTTTTTTCAATTTTGAAAATAGAACTTTTATAATAATATTAAAATCAGTACTATTCACTTGAAAATAAAGAATATATTTGTTAAAAGGATAAATGAAGCAGAAGGTCACTTCTCAATTTTTTGCTGAGTTAAAAATAAAATTTTGATCAAAACACATGAAATGCATGTATGAAATTCCCAAGCTGTTTGATGAACTGGACATGGTTTGAAATGGATCGTTTCTGTAAACATACTGACATGATCTACTTAGTTACTATTGGAATGATTTGAAGAATTTAGTTACTTTTCCTAGCACTATTAGGCACACGAAGCAACGCTCCTGTCCATGAAGAATGGAAAAACACTGGAAGGCACTTACTTCCGTTAGTAAGCCACCGCCACAGCCAACGTCAAGAATCTTCATCCCAGACAAAGGCTTTCCTGGATGGTGATTAGCACTTTTTTTCAAAAGATTATCTCTTTAAAAAAAATTTAAATATATAAAAGGAGATGGCTACTTTTATCAGCAAAAGTTTTTCAAATATACACTCTTCAAGGAAATATTAACCTTCATTTAATTTAGTTTGCTTATTCAGCTGTCTTACTTGGAGATAGGGACTCCCTATAAGGCTCAGACATGCCCTGAGTCCCTAGTCTTCCTTCCTCAGCTTCCTGAGTTCTGGGATCACAGGCCTGTTGCCACCATACCTAGTCTGGAATCCTAATTTGAAATGAATCATTGAAGTTTTTATAAACATCTTTTTTTTTAAAAGATTTATTTATTATGTATACAGCATGTATGACTGCAGGCCAGAAGAGGGCACCAGATCTCATTACAGATGGTTGTGAGCCACCATGTGGTTTCTGGGAATTGAACTCAGGACCTCTGGAGGAGCAGCAAGTGCCCTTAACCTCTGAGCCATCTCTCCAGCCCATATACATCTTTTGTTTTCAGAATTAAATGACTTAATTTGGAGATTTTCAATAAGAAAAGTTCTGAAATAACCCAGCATTAATCTATTATTGCTTTAGTAATACTCTAGAGAAAAATCTCAAACTAATCTAGTACAAATGAACTTAACTTTATTCAAATACGTTTTCAATAAAATGTCTCAAGACTATGAATGAAAATCTACACCCTCTGCTGGCTATGTTGGCTGTGTCAGAGGTTCCTAGGCCAACTTCATGAGTTATTTGACAGAGTAAACAAGCAGATGGAGTCCCACGTTTATCTAAGTTGTCTATCTTCCCATCTTTATTACATCTCTTTTCGTCTCCTGAATTAATGGGGCTTTTTCACATATGACTATATACACAGACACCAAAATTAAGTGACCTTACTCTAGTATAATCACTGTATATAAAAATCATCATATAAATATAATACTTTACCATACACACAACATATGTGCACATGCACCTACATAATCTGATATACACTATAGTATAATATTACAAATGAAGCTTAAAATTGGATGTATAATTTAATTATACTTAAACTAAAAGCAACATATATATGTAAAATGAACATCTTAGGGTATCTAGTATTGCTAGTAAAAGTAACTAAACTCTTAAAATAATCCAGACAATAGCAAAGTAGATCACTTCAGGACATTATACAGAATGATCGTTTCAAAGGAAGTCCAATCCATTCTTCCAACAACCACAGAATGACTCTGCTGCCATTTTCTGACCATGCAGTTTCCTTCTGATGGTTTCTAGTCATGATGAAAACAAAATCCAAACATGCAACCACAGCTTGCATCACACTGGGTGGCCTGTTTTATGTGATATATAAATAAAGATGCCACAGTAATTTGACTGTAGTTCTCAACTTGGGAACCCTGGAATCACCTAGAAGACTTGCTGAGACACAAACTGCATCAACGACAAGCCCTCTGAACTCTTGCCTTTCTTCATCTCCCACTGACACACACGGGTCCATGGTTTGTTCATCCAAGTAGCTCTGGAAGTCTGGTACTAGAGCCCCATCAATGTAAGCCCTCAAACACACTTGTTGAGCCAAGGTGTCTCTGCAAGTTTCCTTCATCAGAACTGCCTAAAGGTCACCAAGGCTGCTGCAGATCGGTAGCTATAAAATGACCTGATGACATAGCACTATAGTTCCCTTTCATAAGAACTGAAGTCTAACTAACCTAGTAGGGTCAAAAATGTTTATAATTTAGTTGTGAAAACAACCTGGGTTTTAGGATTGTTTCTACAAGTTAATGATTTAAAAGATATTTTTTTAAATTATGTGAATGTGTCTGGGTATGTGCATGAGCCCAGTGTATCCTCAGAAACCAGTGAGGTTGTCAGATAGATCCCCTGGAACTGGAGTGGTTGTAAGCTGCCTGATGTCGGTGACAGGAACCAAACCCTGGTCTTCTGTGAGCAGTATGAGTTCTTAACTGCTGAGCCAACTCTCCACCCCCAAAGTTAATGCTTTTAAATGGTGGATCCTGGTGAGGAATATCCCTAATTTCCAAAGCAAACCTAAGATGTGGAATTTGAATGTAAGTAAAGCAAAAGAGAAATGAACACAAAACAGTGAATTATGCACTTTTAAAGATTTAAAAGGAGTTTCTGGAATGTTACCTAATGAAGGGCACCCTCAGGTCATTCATAGAGTGAAGAGGTGCAAATATTCCTTGCTCATCCCACCACTTGTGAGCCAGGGCCAGGAAGGTTTTTACCTCCTTGCTGTCAACTGTTGTTTGTGAAGTGCTGTATAAGCTTTTCCAAGGGAACCTACGGGAGAAAACAAAGAGCCAGGCAATATTGCTGTTCTAAAACAATATGTTAAACAGAACATACTGTATAGAAAGATATTCTAGTTTATTAGAGTCTAAATACATATAGATAGTTCAATTTTGATACTTTAAGATCACAATCACATGCACATATAAATTCACAAGCGTTTGAGGACAAAGCCTGCCCTTCTACGTCACATCTAATACAATACTAATAACAACAACAATAATAGCTATCACTTATTGAGCACTTACTAAAGGCCACGTACTTTCTAAGATACATGTTATTTTTGAACAACTGTACTATTATCCTTATTTTATGGCCGAGAAAAGAAAAGTCTGGAGAAGTCAAGGAAGTGGTTGGGCCCCGACTTGAACACAGGTGATTCCACCATCCACTTCCTTCTCTCCACCTCCACAGCTGTCACGGAAGCCTAAACTCCACCGTCTCCTCCCCACCACGGTCCCACTCTTCTATAGTCCAGTGGCTCCATACATTATCTGTTTCCATGATGAACTACAGAGAGATTGTTCTGAAATAAAATCTAGTTAATTTTTTGTCATATAAAAATGCTTTCAAGGCTTCCAGTGCCATTAGAGGAAACACTAAAACCCTTGGCAGGAAAGGCAGCTCAGAATTATGGAGCCCCCAGCTTCCTTCCTCTCAAAACTCCTTTTCTCCTCATCTCCCACTAACCATGCAGCCTTTGAACTGGCCATGCTTGCTATTCCCTCACACGCCTTGTGTATACAGACAGTTTCTTCTGTCTGGATCATTTTCCCTACATCCCTTCCTTTCCTCTACTAAGCACTTAAGTCTCTCATTCCTCAAATCTGAATTTAAATAGAATGTTATCTACAAAATCTTCCTTGACGCTCAACCGTGGGTCACATTCCCCCATTTTAACTCCTATGTCCCTTTGTATTTCATGGGGTTATATAATCATCTGGTCATGTCTGTTATTCATCAGACTACCTGCTGTGAAGGGAAGGCATGGACGGTAGCATATCATTTTATTCCTAGGGACTAGTACAGTTCCTAGAGCAACAGTTTCTCAGGAGATAATTGTCAAATAGATAATTTGAAGGAAAGAGATCAGAAAAAGTATATAATTTGTACTCATTCTTTTAATCACAAGAGAAAGGGAAGCAAAACAAAAATTACACAACACTGAGGTACATGTCAGTACAGTGAAGAAAAATACCCCAAAGCTCTGCTTGGCCAAAGATAATTAGTCTGATGTTTCACCTACACCCAGTCTCAAAAATGCTCACTCACAAGATGCAAGGGCGTGCACTTAAGAAGTCAACTCAGTTTTAACTAGTACTGGGAAGTATTTTTTATAAGATTAGACACTAATTTGTAAAATCTAAACACACAATTTGCTACTTAATCTTACCACCTAGCATTATCAACTTCTCTACCTTAGTGTGTTCACGGTTTGTTCTGTCACAAGGGATTACAGAGAAGTAAAATGTCTCCATGTCCTTAATACAGCCTTTTCTCTTTCCCTTTCTTCTTTCTTTAGTGATAGAAATGGGGCTTAATAAGAAAGAAAAAGACACTCTCCAGGGTGGAAGTGGGCTGGTGAACTGGAAAGAGATGTGTCTAATCATCTATTAAAAATAAAATTTGTGCCGGGCGTTGGTGGCGCACGCCTTTAATCCCAGCACTCGGGAGGCAGAGGCAGGCGGATCTCTGTGAGTTCGAGGCCAGCCTGGGCTACCAAGTGAGCTCTAGGAAAGGCGCAAAGCTACACAGAGAAACCCTGTCTTGAAAAACCAAAAAAAATAAATAAATAAATAAATAAATAAATAAATAAAATTTGTCTCTGAATTTGAATAAATGGCATACATGGCTATATACTGTATTTTCCTTATAACTTTTCAATAAACGTGAAGTTTTCTAAACCTAAAAATTATTACAACATAATTATTTAAGAACATTTAAATGAATAAAGGCTACTTTAATTAAACCACATGAGCTTTTACATTCTAGCCAAGTTTATTAAACATAGTCAAAACTAAACTACCATTACACATACTTATATAAATCTCTACCAGAATAATAATAAACTCACCTGTCAGTTTTTATTCTGATCAAACAGGAAAAAGTCCTGCTGTAGGATCTAAACCACATGGTCCTGTGTTCACTGAATTCCCATGGCTTAATCTGTAGATTCCTAGTGAGCTGATTCCCTGAGTTAACTGAAAGCAAAGATTAAGTATCCAGAGAAAAAGCATGTAATTCCTGCTATGAACATAATTGAAGAATTTTTATATGGCATTCTCACAGCATACTGCAACTGATAAACAAATGAGTTTCTTAATTTGGGGTTCAGTTAAAAGAATAAAATAAAGTGTCTTTCTTCCATCTAAAAATTAAAATTATCAAAATTAAAATTAAGTAGTGAGTATGTAAAATCTGTCACTGTTTTTTAACATTTGTGTGTGTGTGTGTGTGTGTGTGTGTGTGTGTGTGTGTGTGTGTGTGTGTACACGTATGCACCTGCCTGTGGAGGCTAGAAAAGGATGTTGGACCCCCTGGAGCTGGAGTTACAGGCAGTTGTGGGTCATCTGACATGGGTGCTGGGAACCAAATTCCAGTCCTCTCCAAGACCAGCAAATGTTCTTAACCAATGAGCCACCTCTCCAGTCCCTGCCATTAATTTTTACATCTACACGGTTACATTAAAAAAAAAAATCACAAAATATATTCAAATATAAACTATTTCATCTTTTACACTAAAATATTAATTTCTAGACTGTCAAAACTAGTTCAAATTCTACCAGTTCCATGCTACCTGAAATGTTTTTTTAGATATGCTTTTTAGAGAGCAACAAAAGTTGGTGTGTGTGTGTGTGTGTGTGTGTGTGTGTGTGTGTGTGTCCTAAAATAAAAACTCATAGACTGTATGTTCAAACTTACATCGAGACATGCTTAATGGATTATCCTGTTGTCCAATTAATATTTAGACAAATTATCGTAGAGACAAAGATGACATTAGTCATGACAAAAGACAGTCCACCAAGATGATAGAGCAGTTCTAAATGTGTATGTACCAAACAGTGGCATTTCAAAACAAACAAAGCAAAATTAACAGAACTGAAACAAGAAAAACCAAACCCACAGCTATAGTGAGGGCCAGCCCTCCTCAGGAAGTGGAACAACCCACAGAAAAAAGTCAGCAAGGACACAAAACTGAACATTGCTGAGCAATACACATAACTGCAATTGTGAAACACCCACGCGAACTGCAACAGAATCTACATTCTCTCAATCATTCATAGACCACTTAAAAAGATAAGACCAAATTGTCATTATTTAACCTCTAAAGAAGGTTAATAAATAAATTTTTTATTTAGTAAAATAAAGAATCTAACCAGATTCATAGTTAAAAGCCTTCTAAAAAATGCCCAGGCTCAGACAGTTCCACAAGAGACTCTCCTCTGCAAGGACAGCAAGTGTTCTTAACCACTGAGCCATCCCTTCAACTCCCAAAGGAATCTCACATTTAAGCAAAGCCCCTGGAAGAAGAAGTCACAAACAATGCTGTCCAGTAACTTCCAAAAAGCACAGCAGCGGTGGGCAGTGGGTGTCGACAGCACACACTGCAATCCCAGCAATTGGGAAGCCGAGGGAGGAAGACTGCAACATGGAGGTCAGCCTGTGCGACATGGTGGCCCTTTCTTGTTTTGTTTTGTTATTTTTTTCTTTTCTTATTGAGGCTTATGTTTGTTTTGATTATTTATTTATCTATCTGAGAGAGGGAAAGAATATGAAGTTGGAAGGTGGGTAAGATCTAGGAGTAGTTGGGGGGAAAGAGTATGGTCAAAATATATTTTATGAAAAACATTTAAATAAAAAAATTTGAAAACCACTCAAGAGGCAGAGACAGTTGAATTTCTGAGTTATAGGCCAGCTTGGTCTACAGAGTGAGTTCTAGGACAGCCAGGGCTACACAGAGAAACTCTGTCTTGAATGCCCCCCTAAAAAAAACTGAAAACAATAAAACAAGACAAAACCTCTAACAATGCAGTATACTTCCCAACTTGTTTTAGAAAGCTAGAATTACTCTAAAAACCAAAGATTACAGATTAATTTGCTTAAAGAGCAGATATAAAAATATCAACAAATTCTTGCAAATAAGATCTAGCAATATATAGAAAAATAATAAAGCATGGCCACACTGGCTGAGGCCAATGAAGTAGTTTATAAAACCCACACCCATCCAAGATGAAAACTCAACAAATAAGAACAGAAGGTAACTTAGTTTCCAAAGCACCTATAAAAATCCTATAGTTCACTTATAACTTAAACGATGAAAGTGTGAGATGCTACCCACACCAGGAACAAGATCTTAGCTGTGGCAATAAAGCAAGAAGAGGAAGCAAACCACACAGGATAGAAAGAAAGAAACGTAATGGCTCCTACTGTCTATGTAGAAAATCACAGGAGTCTTCAATTTACTTTATTTTTTTAAGTATTTATTTATGTTTACCTTGTGTGTATGAGTGTTTTGCCTGCATGTAAGTGGACTTTGTGTGTGTGGTGTATACAGAGGCCAGAAGAGGGTATCAGATACCCTGGAACTGGAGTCCAAGGATGAGCCACCACTAAGGTGTTGGGAAACGAACCCAGGTCCTCCGCAAGATCAACCATGCTCTTATCCTACATTTAAATGGAAGCCCCTTGAATTAAAGATTTGAGGTCGACAAACTGAAACAAGCAGTAGGAAAAAAAAATGAAAAATGTAACGTCAACCAAGCAAGATGGCTCAGCAGGTAAACATGTGTGCCATCAACCCTGATGACCTGAATTCAATCCTCAGGACCTACATAGTGGAAGAAGAGAATGGATTCCCACAAGCTGTCCTCTGACCTGGACAGGTGTGCCATGGTATGCACCCACACCCCTTCCCACACACAAAATAAAATGTGAAAAATAAAAAATAAACTCACTGATGTTCATACAAGCAACCCTTATTGAACTCAGTGAGCCTCACACAGAGAAAGACATAACAGTAGATGGGGAGACTTGTGAGGAAGAAAGGATTCTTCAGGAATGGAAGGGAGCGGAGAGAGAACAATGGGCAATGACTATGATCGGGGTGTGTGTGTGTGTGTGTGTGTGTGTGTGTGTGTGTGTGTGTAAAATTGTAAAAGGAAACAACAACTGTTCAATATTAATGAAGACTAAGAATAAAACAAATGAAAGCCACTGTGAGAATCACACACCTAGCAAACTGTGTAAAATTTGAAAATACTGATATCATCAAATGAAGAGCAGGAATGAAGCAACTTTATCTTTTATATGTTAAGAGTAGGCATGGAAATAGTACAGCCACTCTGGAAAGCAATTTAGCAGCTCCTGATGAAGTAAAACATGTGCTTAATGTGCAATTCAGCAACTTACTATGTGAGCACTAATCTCAGAGAAGTGAAATGTATATTCACACAAACCCATATATGAATTATATATGTATATACATATATTTGTGTGTGTGTGTGTGTGTGTGTGTGTGTGTGTGTGTGTGTGTGTGTTTTCAAGACAGAGTTTCTCTGTGTGGCCCTGACCATCTTGAAACTTGCTCTGTAGACTAGGATGGCCTGGAACTCAGAGATCTGCCTGCCTCTGCCTCTGCCTCCTGGGTGCTGGATTAAAAGGCGAACACCATGGCCCACTTTATATATGAATATTTTAATAACTTTATTTATAACAGCTTCAAACTGAAAACAACAAAAATGAACTACAATAGGCAGCTAGAAACTGTGGAATAACTATACTCAAAAATGTAATGATAAACTATACTCAGAAATTATAACTATAAACTATATCCAGAAATAAAAGGCATATATTGATACATGAAGACTTAGATGAATTTAAGAGTATTCAGCTAAGTGAGAAAAATCCTCAATATCAAAAGAAACATAGTATATAATTCCACTTATGTAATATTTAAAATTCTGTTTGTTCGGGTTTTTGTTTTTGTTTTGAGACAAGGTCTCACTATGTGCCCTGGCTGGCCTGCAACTTACTATGTGCAACAGGCTGGCCTCAAACTCACAAAGATAGAGGAAAAAGGCAGCCACTTTATTAAACATAGAGGTCAGGCAGTGGTAGCACACACCTTTAATCCTAGCATTCGGGAGCCATGGAGGAAGCAGCAAAGTAGGATATACAGAATGAAAAAAAGGTAAAAAGCCTTGAGGCAAATTAAGTTTAAAAAGTCAGTGGGACAGGCCTAAGCTAAGGCCAGGCATTTGTAACTATAATAAGTTTCCGTGTCTTTATTTGGGAGCTAGTTGGCAGCCCAAAGAAAATTCCAACTACAATCTATCTACCTACCTATTTATTTATTTTACATGTATGAGTGTTTTGCCTATTTGTGTTTTTGTGCACATTTGTCTGGTGCCCACAGAGGTCAGAAGAGGGCATCTGTCCCCCTGGAACTGGAGTTACATATGGTTGTAAGACACCAAGTAGGTGGTGGGACACAAACCCAGATCCTCTGAAAGAATAAGTGCTCTTAGTCACTGAGTCATCTCTTCAGCCATCTTGTTGTTTTTTTTTTTTTTAATTCTCTGTGTGTATCTGTCATTTCTCTTCACTTCATCTAATTTTATTTATGCTTTTCCCCCCTCCAATTAGGGGCAGTCATTTTTCTTATCCTTTGTCCCCCCCCCCTCTATACTTGGTAGTATTTTGACTTTACCTTTTGATATGTGAGAGTTTTCTTGTGGAGACACAAACAAATGTCTACTCAGCCCAGAAAGGGAATGAGAGGCATTCCACCAAAGTCCATTTTTTTTCTACATGAATAACAGACCAATAAAGCTGTAATGCCACAGAACGCCCCTGCTCCCTAAATATGACCCTAATTCAGACAACTCTAGGACATTGCCTTCCTCCTTAGCAAGGGGTACAGTGGGGACATGCCTGTCTTCCATCTGCTATTGCAAGCCTTTAGTGAACTGCCAGTCAAGCTTTAAAGCTTTCCAAACACTCACCAGCACAGCGTTCGGCTTTTCATCATTCCCCCCCCCCCCCCCCCCCCCGAGGAACTCCAGCTGGCACAGGGCTGCAGTACGCAGTTTCAGCTAATGGGACCAGCCCCATTGTTTGCTTTCTTGTTCTTTTATCTCCTCAGTGCTTTAGCAAGACGCCAGGCTAGACCACTCAGGGCTGCCAGAGCCGAGCCTACCAT